TACCAGCGTAGACTCCAGGCATGTCTGGCAGGTGCCCTATCTCCAGAAGAAGGACTGTGGGCCGTGGGGAAGCTGAGACTCAGGCCCAAGGAGTCAACCTGGAGTCCTGCCACCTGTCGCCGCCTCTTCCCTCTCACTCCACCTGCGTTAGCAAGTGTCCTCACCTCTACTTCCGAAATCCCTCTCCAATCTACCCACTTTCCCACTGTGCCTCCCTCTCACCAAGGCTGCCTTCATCTCTTGTCTGTATCATCCTCCTTCCTAGTGCCCCTCTTGCCTACCTCAGTCCTTCCTACACCGGGAAGCCAGAGAAGGGGTGCAAAAGTAAGCCAGACCACGTCACTCTCCCGCTCAAAGTCCTCTCACGGCTCCCCATTTCCCTCCGCGTAACGACCAAACTTGGCCACGGCACGCAGGGCTCTATATGATGCGCTCCCCGCCGTCCCCTCCAACCACCAGGTGCCCGGCCGGGGGCGCCTCTCGCTTTCCTTTCCACTGCCAGATTAATTCCGACTCGTGCTCAGACGCCCCTCTCAGGGAAGGCCTCCCTGATTAAGTCGGGGCCCTGCCGTCTCCCCACCCCTGGGTTGGGAGGTCCGGAAAGCAGGAGCCGGGTCCCCAGCGCGGCCCCCGTAGTGACCTCACCTGCGGTCTCGTCTCCGCCGCCTCCGTCTGCGCCTCCGCTCGTCCTCCCGGCGCCGCCGGTCTCGTCCCCCATGGCTCCCGCTCCGGCTTCGGCTTCGGCTCCGGCTCCGGCTCCGGCTCCGACTCCCGCTCTGGCACCGCCGTCTTCGTCCCCTGCGACCCGCGGACCGCGAGCGCGAGCGTGTGTCCCGACCCATCGGCTGGGACAGTGTCCGCGGCGTCGACACAAACAGCCGGGGCCTGCGCCGGGGGCCTTCCTCGGTGGCGGCGCGCGCCGGGCTGCCCTGTCCGCGCCTTAGACGGAAAAGAGGAACCCACCCCGCCGGCCCAGCCCTAGGGGACTCCGATGCCCTGAACCCTCCCCTCCATCTGCAACTGTGGCCCGCTTGATGCCGTCTGTCGGACGGTCCACTCCGGGAAAGGGGGTCGCCCTTCAGGCAGTGCTGGAGGCAGCCACAGGCGGGTCCTCGCGCCTCAGGGGGCCTGAGGAACTGTGGGCGGGGTCAGGACAAACAGGAACCGATGCATGGGCGGCGCTTGGAGAGGCGGGACCAAGGGGAGGCGGGTCCAGTGGGGGGGGTGTGGTGGGCGTGGCCAAGGGAGGCGTGTCCGGGGAGCGAAAGGACGGCGGGAACCCCGGAAGGTGGTGGGTTCCAGGCAGCTCGGGAGGGGGAGTGGGCGGGAGCGGGAACGGAAACTGAGCCTTAGATGCTGGGCTATGAGCCTCATCGTTATGCCCCACCACCTGCCCATAAATACCTGTGTATTTCGGGAGTTTAGCTTTTTTTAAAAAAAAACTTGGATAACTCCTGGATTCCGTGTTACCCCATTTGTAGGTGGGAAACTGAGGCTCGGAGAGGGAAAGTCACTTTAACACCTGCCTTCCTAACCCAGGTCGTCCGGATTGTGCGCCGCTGCCACCACCCCCTCGCCCCAGTTCTGTCCACACCGGGCTGGGAGTGCCTGTGCTTGGAAGATGGTATTAATGATTTAAGCTTTTAAAAATGGTTATTTTTAAAAATGCAACTTCTTAACACCTGCCCTAAACGCTGGCTTTGTGTGCTGTGCTTGGTGTGAAGGTGAGATCGGAAACTCCCCTGCCGCTGTCAGTAAGGACCCTGCTGGTCCTGGGAGGTGGGTTGTCATGGTGACAGGTGGCCTGACCGGGAGGAGAGCCTGGCCCATGATTTTAAAACTTTGGGTGCATCCCCGCAAGTATCTGAAAAGGTAAGCACGTTTGCGATCACCAGCATGTTCAGCCTGTAAGTCAGCGGTGCCATTTGTGCATCTGCCTCTGTGTTAAGAACTGCATTTCCGAGGCGCTCCATTATGGACAGGATCTGCCTTTCAATGCAGTTTCTCAAACTGGGAGCCTGGGAGAAACATTTTCCCCACAAGGGAATTGTGATGTCACTCAATTTGAGCAACTGTGGCAAAATGAGTACAAACTTCGGGGAGTGTCTGTTCCTAGGCACTGGGCTGCACCGATGTCAGAAGCTTTGAAATGTTTTCCGAGTTGAGCTGCAACCGGAAAGAGGCCGTAGCAGTTAAGGTGTTGGGTGCTGTTGCTATTATAATAAATCCCACGAAGGTTGCTTTGCCCTCTGAGACTCAAAGTCCGCCCTCAAACTCCCACCAGACCACTGGCACCCAAAGAGGCAAAGGGACGCGGGCCGATGCTCAATACCCGATTTATTAGAGATCTCTTCCACATAAAAAGAGGGGGTGGCAGGTATGGGGGGGCGGGCGCGGGTCTGGGCTGCATACGAGTGTCATTTGGGGCCAGCAGAGGCTGTTGTTTCAGAGGTGCCCACTGTTCTGGGTTTGAGGAACACGGCACTCGCGTCTGTGCCACGGGCTCGCTGCTCCGGATTGTCACGCGCCAGACGGCGGGGCAGAGGAATGGAGTGGAATCCCGGTAGGAGTTAAGACACACGAGGTTTGCAGTTTCTTGTTGTTTCCGGAATCAGTTCGGCCATAAAAAGGGGTTCGGGGTGGGGACGGGTGGTGGGATGGAGCCACCAGAGAAAAGGAGACGGAGGGCGCTTGTCCTGGGGCAGGGACGGAGGGGCTGTGGCGACAGTACCATGGCAAGGTACAGGGACAGGAGTATTGCACTGAGCAGGATGGGGACACATCGGGATGGCTTCGGGGGAACAGAGGCCGACGGGGAGTCGGGGACACATGGAAATTTCCACCTCGTCAGTCTCAGAGAAAATGCTTTTGTGTTTACAGTACAGGAAATGGGACACTGTCTGTGTTCTCAGCAACAGCAGCCATCAGAGACACGAGGCAGGAGGGACGGCGGGCCTCAGCCACCTGGGTATTTACAGATTCCTGGGGCAGGGATGGCTGGGTGGGTCCAGGGGCCTTCCTTGCAGGGGGTCTGAGGAAGGCGACGAGTTCGCTAAACGTTATAAATAGGTCTTGCCTTCCTGCCCCCTGCCCCGAAATAATAAACGGCCGCCGCCCCTCGCAGTCTGTAGAGTACGTCAGCATCGCTTTACAGTTCTCTGGAAAGGAACAAAAATAAAAATGCAACCAACACAAAACGGGTCTCCAATGGGGCCTCGGAGACTTAACACAAAAACAGAAATGCTGTGATGTCCATGGGAAGTTTGCGAATTTCTCCTGCGGGTGAGCCAATGTCGGAGACTCGTGTCCTGGGAGTCACTCAGCAGAGCCAAGGGGGCCGCCCTGGACGTGGCGCCTGTTGCTCTGGGTCATCTCTACGGGCTCGCGGGGTCTCTGGTGCTGTCCCTGTGGGTCATCCAGGTCCCAGACGCCCCTCTGACTTCTGTCCCCTCTGTCCCAGGGGCAGGCCAGCACCCATCGGGAGGCTGGGCACCAGCAGGTGGGCACCAGGCTGTGACTCAAGGCCAAGGCCGCTTCCCGGGCTGGACAGACCCTCCTGGGCAGGGGGCGAGGACCCCAGAAGGGCTTGTTTGGACCTGTCCTCTGAGCCACCCGGCGGCTGGTCCCCGCTGAGGGCTCTTTCCTTTCCCGGGCTGAGACTCGAGGAGCTGCTTGAGGGAATGTCCGTCCCCGCCTGGGAGAAAGGCCCTGGGGATGCGGCCTGGTTCTCCACGGCTCAGGGGGGCACCTGCTGTGGGAGGGGGCGGGGACGGACCTGAGCAGCAGGACGCAGCAGCATCACAGGAACTTGTGACAGGCTCAAAAACAATGGCATCCCCACGGGAGGTTCCAGCTGATGTGGTCCCATGTCACTCCGCTGGGGAGGCACGGGTTGGAGGAAGATTCTCCCAGAAGGTGCGACTTCTGCTCCGAGCCTGCCCCCAGCTCCCCGCATCCTGGGCAGTGTCACTAGGGAACCGTCACCAACATGCCTGTCTCTGGAGTCCCGTGTAACGGGCAGGGTGGGGGCGCATCCGCAGGGGGTGGGTGTCACTCTGCTGTCACCAGTGCCCTCTGGACGCAGCGGCCACCCCATCAGGCTCTGGCCTCCATGGTCCTGCTGGGCAGGTGCCACTGCCCCTGCTGAGGGTGCGAGCCCAAACGACGTCTTCTCTCCTCCTTTGATCCCCATGGGAATGACATCACTTAAACGGCAATGAAGGAAACACTCTGGGGAGAGGGGTCTGCCCCTCTAGGTTGTGCCTGGGCAGAGGGGGCGGGGGGGGTGGCTGTCCCCCATCAAGACCGGCCTGCCCGCCAGCCCCGAGCCCTCTGGGACACAGACTCTCTGGAAACCCCGCGGCGCGGCTTGGCCTCCTGTTCCGTCTCTGGCTTTGAAGGGGCATCTCATGTCGCTTGGAATGTCTTTGCTGGATGCTGCGTGGTCCATGCTGGGATGGGGGACACGTCCCCAGCCCCTCCCGTGTGCATCTGGAGTGTGCGCACCTGAAATTCTTGCTCGCGGGGCCCCTGGGAGGTGGGGTCAGGAGGTCCTTCCGGAAGGCGGGGTGCCTGAGTGGCGGGACACACAGATGATGAGGGGCTCGGCCAGGCGAGAGCCGTCCCCAAGGCGACCGCTAAGAGCAGAGGTCCTGCGCTGAGGCCCCCAAACCTGAGCTGAGGGAGGGAGGGTCTGCTTCCGGGTGGGGGTGGCCCCTGCGCTCTCAGGCATCCCAGTCCGTGAGGGACAGAGGCGGAGCGGGGGGACCCTGCCGTCCTGTCTGCACGTCACAGGCTGGGGCTTGGAGTGTGATGTTGTCCAGGGTGGCCGGGACACGGGGTCCTGGATCCTGGAAGGTGGCAGGAACAGCCTCGTCCCCCCGAGAGGAACATGCAAGCACAACAGAGAACCGAAAAGTGCAGTGGGATGGAGTTTCTTCTTTTTCCACTTGTTTTTGTGTCTTTTTTGTTTTTTTCCTAAAAAAGCACACATGTGCTTCTGTCTCTGTGCAAAGAGCAAGGACCCAAAATAAATACGTGATTTGACGCTTGGGAAGGTCCCAGTCTCGCAGGTGCAGGCAGCTGACGGGGTGCCAGGGCCCGAGAGGCTTGGTGGCTGGAGCTGTCGGGGCGGAGGGGCTCGGCCGGTGGCATCCGTCAGGGGAGGACGAAGTCGGGCCCGGGTGGGCGGGCGAGGTCCTTTGGGGTCTCCCCAGCTCTGGGCCGCAGCTGGGCGGGCAGCGCCTCCAGGGAGCAGCCAGGGCGGTGGCGGGCGCTGGGTTCTGGGTGGGGACTGCATAGAAATTACTGCAAGAGGCGAGAGGGGCGGGTGAGGCCTGCGGCGCCAGCGTGAGGACTACCCTCAGGCCGCCTGCTGGGCCTCCTGCCAGGGACCGTGTGCTCTGACAGGCCCCGAGACACTCACCCCACAGCCACCGCCAAGTCAGAGAGCCCAGGGTAGGGCTCCAGGCCACCCGCGCCCTCCCGCCCCGGCCTCAGTTTCCCAGCCTGTCCCTGGGTGTCTGGGGGCTGTACTCTCGGGCCTCGGCCCAGGGGCCGCACTTACTGTGTCGCTCTCGCCGTCGGAGGCCGGCTGGGCCTGTGCGCTATAGTGGAGCGGGGAGTACACCCAGCTCCTCTCGTCAGTGGGCTGCAGCGCGTGCAGGAGGGGCGCAGACAGCAGGGTGCGGGAGGCGCGACAGGACAGGGAGGAAGGAAGAGACAGGAGAAAATAAAAGAGGCGGGTCCCCCACAGGCGGGACAGGCGCTCAGCCCTGGCTGCCCTCTCTGACCGGTGCACCTGCCCCCAACCTGGACGGCCTGGGCCTCGGCTCAGCAGGGTGGGCGGCAGCAGGAAGCGCTAGTGCGGTCAAGGTGGGCCCGAGACAGCGGGTGACAGAGACGGGAGGGAAAGGGGCAGGGGTGAGACCTGGGCCACCGTGTCCTCCTCCTCCTCAGCCTGGCGCCAGCAGCCCCATCTGCCTTCGACGACGGGGGTTCTGGGTGCTCGGGTGCCCACCCCGTTTTCCAAGCACCCAAAAGCCTCTCAGGACTTGGCCCAGCTGCCTGTGGTGGCCCAGGCACCTGGGCCTGGCCAAGGGACAGGCAAATGGTACTTCCCTGGTGTGCGTGAGTTGGGGGGGCTCCTCTGGCCCAGCCCCGCCCTCTCGGTCTGCTCCCACCTTCCTGCTCCCCACCCTGGGGCTGTCTCGCCCCACCCCGGCGCCCCGTGTGGTCTCACCGGGCCTCGACGCACACCTGCCCTGGCTGCATCCACCAGGCGTCCCTTGTTCCCTACACTTGTCACGGCCACGACCCAACCTGTCCCCTCCTCCGTCTGGTCAGGACAGCTGTCCACCGGTGGCTGGGCCAGCCGCCTGCGCCCGCCTCTTCTTCCTTTTCCCTTGGGGTCCCACCCACTGCTGGGGCCCGTCCGCCTGTGCCGATGCTTCTGTCACCGGGGCTGGTGTCTTCGCAGCCTTGAGGAAGGTCCCTACCTCCCCCCAGCGCCCCGCTCTGGCCGGCCCCCCCCGATCCCCTGGGCTCGCTGCCTCTACTTGCCTCGGGCCAGCTTGACCCTCCCTCTGCCCCGAGACCCCCCACCTGTGCCCGCAGCTCCTGCCAGAGCCCCGTCACCGGCGCAAGCCCCCCGGGCGCCGCGCATCTCCCTCCGGCCCGAGGACGGCTCACACACCGAGGCACCGAGGCCCCGGGCACAGGCCCACTCCTTTAGACGATCGCAAATGCCAGGCAAGAGCCCTGCCGCGGGAGCAAGGGGCTGGACTCCGCCTCCCGCCGGCCCCACAGCGCAGCGCGGGGGCCACAGTGATGGCTCCACGGCCATCACAAACGTGGGCCCAGAAAGGGTCCCCACCTGGACCCTGGGAGAGGCCGGCAGCGGCCATCAGCCCAGTGGCCACTTCAGAGCCGCCCTCCGGGAGGGCCGCCCCGGCTGGGCTGGGCAACCACCCCAGGGCAGGGACAGTGGACAACTGCACCCTCCTGCTACCGCACTAGGAAGGACAGAACAGCAGCTTCCCTGTCCTCCAGCAGCGGGCACAGAAAGGGCCCCTCAGTCCCCAGCGGGGCGGGCAAGGGAAGGTTGGGGGACAGTGGCAACAGGGATCCAGGATGGGGCTGACCCCACGGGGGCCTGGCCTGGGGCATGTCTCTCTGACCCTCTGGCCCCCACGCTTAGCCTCTGCTGCGCCCGCACCAAGGCCACCCTCTTCCTTCTAAATCAGGTGTTTGTCAAAATCCAAGGCAGCCCCGCTCTGGGCAGCCTCTGCAAACTGCTCTGCTACCGGGTGGCCCGATGGCCCGATGGCCGTGGGCTGCTGGGCTCACCCGGCCCCTCCTCCTCCCAGCAGAGCCCTGGGATAGCTCTGGGATCAGCCCTGGGGTGTCCTCCCGCCACCCCAGCAGACTTCCTGCTGCCAGGGCTGCCTGGAGGGGGCTGGAGAAGTGGCCTCCACCTCTGGGGTCAGCCCTGGCACATGTGGTGCCAAGAGGGGCCTACAGATGGGGCCAGGTTGAGGGTGGCCCCACACGGGGCCTTTTAAGAACAGAAGCTCCTGCTCCAGGCCTATGCCTGTCCTGCTGTGCAGCTCTGGGCAGCTCCCCAGCCTCTCTGGGCCCTTGATCACTGTTCACAACGACAACAGGCCCTGAAGCTACGTGGGAGCCACATGGCGCCCTGAGGGGAACTGCAGGGGAGTGTGGGGCCTGGGTTTTGTCTAAAGCATGTGCTCCTGCAGGCTCCCAGGGTAGCGAGGCCTCGGCTTCCCTGTCTGTGAAATGGGTATGGAGACGCCAGCTCCTCCCCGCCTCAGCAGCCCTCAGCTGCTTTGACTTGTGTGATTGGTCCCTGTGAAGTTGGGCAGACAGCTCTGGTGGCTGGGGACAGCCAGGTCTGGGCCAGCGGGAAGGTTCCACCTGGCGTGCCTTGACGTGGCAGGGCTGGCGAGGGGCAGAGGTGGCCCCGAGCCTCAGCTGTGCGCTGTGATGGTGTCCCCATATCAAGTGCCGCTTCAACGCGGGACTGAGTGACATTCTCCTGTGATGCACACAGCACAGCGCCCAGCAGGGCCAGCGCGGCTATGTCCCCAGCGTCCTTTCGAGGATGGGCGACGCCGGGCACTCTGTTTCGGGCCGGGGACCTGCAGCTCCCTGCTGCCCCAGGCGGGTGCTGCCCTTCTCCCCGGGGTGGCCGCTGCGGTCACTTACAGTGCCCGAGGAGCTCGGCGTCACGGCCCGCAGTCGGCGATGGCGGGGAGAGTAAATCCAGTACCTCCCATCCGTGAACTGCACGGGCGGTGGGCCGGGCGCGGAGGAAGGAAAACAGAGGACACGGATGAGGCCACAGGAATCCCCCCGGCCGGGCGGAGAGAGGTGGTGGGAGACAGCGGGCTGGAGGCTGGGGACAGGCGACTGCCAAGCGGGAGTTGGGGGGTGCCGGGTGGGGGTCTGGCCGAGGCGGCTCCCTTCTCTGCGGCCCACCCAGGTGTCAGGACACAGACACACGGTAGAACCGCCCCTGCCACCCTCCCACCACTGAGAGACCAGAACGCGCACAAACCAAGCCTGGGGACGGGGTGACGACGGGTGGGGGGACAGGCACGTGGCCCCCTCCACCCTCCTCCGGGGCCAGGAGGGGCACAGAGCAGGGCTGTTGGTTATGAGGCCACTGGGCGTGTGCCCCCAAATCAGGCCCTGAGCCCGGCGCCCCAGCCTGCCTGCTCTGGGGGTGCGGAGATGAGTGTGGGCAGCCGGGAACTGGGGGTCCTGGGGCTGCGGCCTCTGCCCCGACCGTTCCCTGGGGCTGTCTGACCCCCGAGCAGCGGCCCCAGGACCTGCCGTTGAGACTGGACGTCGCGGGCCTCCCCGGCCACCCCGCAGCTGCCTCACCCAGGCCCCCAGTGAGGGGAAGGAGGTCCCATGTCCCCAAGGCCAGGCACACCCTGCCTGGTCCAGGAGCAGCTGTGTGTCCCTGGCTGGTGGAGTGGGCAGCGTGGAGCCCTCCTGCCACAGGCCCGGTCCCCTGGCCCTTCTAAGGGACAGAGCCCACCTGGCCACACCCACCACGAGAGGGAGAAGATCTCGTCACCTCTGGCCACCAGGCTGCTAAGGACACAGGGCCTCGGCCTCTGCCTGAGCCTTCCCGTGGGGCCGAGTGTCTGAGGGCTCCGGACGATTCCCAGGGAGACTGAGGGACACAGCTGGGGCCGTGGCCATGGCTGGTGGCCAGGCTGTGGTCGCAAGCCTGGGAAGTGGGGATGGGGGCAGCCCTGGGACCCAGGAAGGGCTGGCCTGGCCGGCGAGGGGCCGTCCCGCCCTGCGTGGTGAGACCAGACAGAGAAGGCGGGTGCCCGAGTATCTGGCGGTGTCTGTGCTGACGGCGCACGTGCCCGACTGTGACGCATGGAGAGGAGAGGTCCGTGGACGGCCCGGGCGGAGGAGCCCGGGGGACTTACAAAGTAGATGTCGGTGGCAGGTGCGTCCTCCTCATCTGAGGCCTGGCTGGCGGGTTCCGAGGCCTGGCTGGCGGTTTCCGCTTCGACAGCAGCAGAGGCACCGGCCAAGGACGCCTCCACCCTGGGGACCGGCAGACAGGGAGTCCTGGGCGGGCTCAGGGCCGCAGCCGCCCTCCCGCCCCTCCCGGCTCGGGGTCCAGGCAGGGGCTGTGTCAGGGTGTCACAACTGAAAGACTCAGGCGGGTCCCCTGCTGTGCGCCGTTTCACACAGAACAGAACAAGACAAAACGTCCCAAGAAACCCCGCCAGACGCCGACTCCCGGAATGCCCTGCTAGCCCAGTGACCGGATTGGTGCGCCCCTGGGAGGTCACATTCCTTCTCTGAGCCTCAGTTTCTCATCTGTAAGGAGGGGAAACACGGTACTTGCCTCAAAGGGGTCAGAACCTCTTTCTCCTTTTCATCAAACACTCAGTACATGCCAGAGCTGGTTCTAGAGCCTTCTGTGAATGAACCCAATGACCTTCCGTCGTGGGGATGGGGAGAGGAGGCTGCTAACGCCCCTGTGTTACAGATGAGGAAACTGAGGCACAGAGAGGCGCTGAGGAACGTGCTTGAGGCTGAGGCTGGTGGCCAAGGGACAGGTGTACAACTTTCATCTCACAGACGACACTAAGGACTTGTTCTCCCTGCTGTGTTTGAGGTTCGGCTGTTTTTGGCAGAGACTGAAATTTTACACTGTAAGATTTGGCTAATGGCAGAGAGCACACGGTACCAGGACGTGTGTGTGCACGTGTGTGTGTGTGTGTGTGTGTGTGTTTAAAATACGCTCCCAGTGGCAAGGCCAGCCTGGGAATCTGCTGAGAGTGCTACACAAGGCCTCTGGGAACAAAAATAAAAAAAGCATCTAAAGCAAAAATCGTTAGAAAGGCACGAATCTGCCAACGCGGTGACAGAACCGCACACGCCGAGCAGACGAGACACAAGTGAAGACACAAAGGAGCCAGATGGTGACAGTGGACGAATTGGTCCTAAGAGGCTCCCAGGAAACGTTCGGAGCCTAATGAGAACGTGTGCTTCGTTCCACGTGTCTGTGGACATTTCAAACAGCAGGTTTTGAACTTGACCATTAGGATTTTAAGCTATTTTTTTTTTAAAGACATAGACTTTTTTAAGGCTACTTTTTTCAAATAAAAACTCAATAAAATTAAAAATAAATATTAAAAAAGTAAATGAATAATATCCTTAAACACTTGGAAGTTCAGAGATGCTCAGCAACCCTCCCCTGGGGGCTGTGGACACGGGCTGGGTCGTTCTCTGGGGAGGGGCCGTCCTGGGCCTGCAGGTGCTGAGGGGTGTCCCTGCCTCCACCCACCGTGCCAGGAGCTCCCCCCATGGAGCTGTGACAACCACAGATGTCCCCAGACATCACCCAGTGTCCCCTGGGGGCAGAATCACCCCCAGCTGGTTGAGAATCACTGCCTGAAAGGGGGAATCAAAAGCAAATCTATTATCTGTACAAAAGAACTACCTTGTGCTAAACCTCCGGATGCTGCTGTCTCTCCCAGGCCCACGACAGGCACCCCGACCTCCCGCCCAGCCGTACTCACCCCGCGTCTTCCTCCTTGGGGACCACGATCTCCACGCTGCACGTGGGCTCCACCTGCACCGTCACCTGCTGCAGGTCTTCCCCGTGCGGCTCCTCCTGGGGCCTGGAGGCAAGGGGGAGCCGAGCCTCAGTTTCCCTCCTCACTCCCCTGCCTCCCGGAGTGCCTGCCGGACCCCAGGTCCAGTCCTGCCGGGGAGCTGGGAGCCTCCAGCCTGGGCTCGGTCCCTCTGGCTGTCATACCCGGCCGGGGGTCTGAGTGGGGGGAGAGGCTGCCACCTGGGTCCCTCCTGTGACTCTGGCACTTGGCAGGGCCTGGGGTATAGCAGGTCCTTGGGGCACATTTACGGAATGAGCAAACGGCAGCCCCAACATGCTTGGGTGTCGTGGACGCTACCCACAATCCTGGGGGTGCCTGAGCTTGGAAGCCCAGGCCCTGAGGCAGGCTGCCGGAACATTCTGGCAGCAGACCTGGGCATGCACGTCCTCTCTGAATGGCAACCTGAGAGCAGAAAGGTGGCTGACTTGGGAGCCAGGCAGCTGGGCAGAAGGGAGAGTGGCTTCCCACCACTGGCACCTGGAGTTTCTTTCATTAGTGATTAGAAACCGACTGAGGAAAACAACACCCATCCACTGCCCTGGTGTTAACAAGAACACACCTGGGAACAACTGGAATGTCCCCAGAGGGGCTGGCTAAGTACAATGAAAGGAAGGGCCCGGCAGTCCCACGCCGGCTGGGAGGATCCCTGCCTACCAAGTGACAAGAGCAAGGTGGGGGTGGCTGCACAGACGCCTCAGTCACTGTCAAAAGGGAACCACACGCCTGGGAGTACGCTTGCTTGCGTATTCACAAAACATCTCTGCGGAGACGCAAAACCCATGGTCCCAGGGGTTGCTCCCGGGGAGGGATCGGCGTGGGCAGGAGGGAGGCATTTTACCACATTCCCTCTTGTACTTTTAAGTTAAAAAAAATTAGTAGAAGAAAAAAGAAGGATGGACAGGCCAAGCTGCCTCAGGTCCCCGGGGCCCCAGGGTGGAAGAAAGACGCAAAGTGCCCGGGAGGTTCCGTGCAGTTCTGCAGCCTGGCGGGGACTCGAACCTGTGCCCGGGACAGAACGGGCAGACACACAGAGGCTCTGGGTGGGGAAACGGGGGCTCGGGGCCGTGCAGGACTCTGGGTGAGACCGAGAGGAGGGCAGGGGCGGGGCGGGGGCTGGGGTCTCACCTGCCATCCTGTCCGGACGACTGCGTGCGCCGCCTGCAGAGAGACCTCAACAGGTGAAGCAACAGTCCCCGCCTACTGCAGCTGCTCCTAGCTGCCCCGCCCACCTGCACTGGCCCACCCACCTGCCCCGCCCACCGGCACTGGCCCCACCCACCTGCCCAGGCCACTCCTGGCTGCCCCGCCCACCTGTACCGGGGCTGCTCTGACGTCTCCGAGGGGGAGCGCTCGGGGATGGAGAGGGAAGTGGATGACAGCGTCGTGGCGATGGAGGCCGTAGTGGCTTCTTCAAAAGAAGGCGGCGTGCAGGGCAGGAGGTCGGGTCGGCCTGCAGGGAGGAGGCGGTGGCACCTGGCAGAGCTGCGGGCCCCTCCACACCGCCCCATTGGTTCCCCTAGGCTCGGCTCACCCTCGCGCCCTCCTGCCTCCCAGGCTCCCACCTGTGTCCCGGCACAGCTCTTCACAAGGCAAATTAGGGTGCATTTTCCCCTTGTGCGAAGGCTTCCAATAACTTCTTACAGCTCTCAAAACAGAATCCAAACCCCCAAAAGCTGGAGGGTCCTCCCCTTTCCTCTCTGTCCCCTGCTCCCTCTCTCCCCCTCGCACATCGGCTCCAGCTACGGGGGTCCCCCTGCTGTGCCTCCAACATGCAGGTGCAATTCTGCCCCAGGGCCTTTGCACAGGCTGTGCCCCCTTCCTCCATGCTATTCCCCAGCCTCCCTGTCTGGAGTCCTTGATCCCCAGGGCTGGGAGGACCTTCTGGACATCCCTGGTGACAGTGACTGTTTGACAGGCTGTCACCTTCCCAACATTGCCTTCTATGCTCTGTTCTCCCAGTGGCTCTTGCCGTGGACCCAGTCCCAGCTCCTCACTCCCTGGTGGCTCTTTAGGTCCCTGAGGTGACTGTGAACTCCCCTCCCCTGGGGGCGTGGCCTACCCTCTGGAGGCCTCACGTGGGCCCCTGCATCCCCCAAGTGCACCTGCTGCGCCGCCCTCGGGCTCACCTTCGTCCTCCAGTGTGGGGTAGCTGCGGGCCCCCCGCAGGTCATACTGTGCATCCTCCCGTTCACTGGGGATCTGGCTGGCGGAGAAGGCAGCCGTGGGCCCGAGGGGCTTGACAGCCAGCAGGGCCCCGCGTCCCTTCTTGGACGGAGACGACTTCAGGGCTGCGGAGGGAGGAGGGCAGGGTGGGTGCTGGCGCTCAGGGCTGCCGGGGCCGTGGCACAGCCCAGGCAGGACCCCCGCTGGCCTCCTGGGTCCTCCCGCACACACGGCCTGGTCTGCACTGGCACCGCCCACCACCTACTCCAGGGACCCTCTGCCCGGCCCCAGGCCAGGGGAAGCAGCAAAGCCGCTTCGTGCAAAGGCCGGCTCTGCCACGGGAGGCGCTGGGGAGCCGGGTACCAGGCCTGTCCACCCGACTGTCTAAGGTGAGACACGCAGGGACCAGCACTGCGTCTGCCGCCCACCCCAGGGTCCTCCTGACACGAGGCAGAGACAGCCACCACGCCTGCCAAGCTTGCCCGGGCCTCGTCCCCTTCCGCTCTCCGCCCGGCCCTGGCAGTGCCCCTGTTTTCAGTCGGGCACCGAGGACCTGGGGAGCGCTGGGCACGGGAGTTAGAGAGGCGCATGGCCCAGTGCGGAGAGCCTGGTGGCTGTGTGACCCGGGGACTGGGCAACAACAGGCTTGGGGGGCCAGGTGACACCCTGCTGTCCTCACTGCTCACCAAGCCCTTGTGACCTCTGCCCCCAGAATGGCCCAGCACAACTCCTGGTAAACAGCGGGTGCTCGGTTTGCCTTGCAATACCAGGGAGGATGGCCCAGGCGGTGGTGTGCTGGGAAAGCCTTAACAACTGGCTCTCTGGAGACACAGCCAGGCTGCGTGGTGGCCGCCACTTCCCACAGTGGAAAACACTGAGGGGAGGCCCCTGGCAGGGAGCTGGGGACAGAAGTGCTGGGCTGGCTCTGGAGCCTGCTCCAGGGGACTGCGCTTGGCCCGGGGCTGGGAGAGTGGGCCCCGTCTGCGGGCACCGGGCATTTGGCGTGCCCATTCCTGCTGCCTCCTGGAAGTGACCTACCTGTGGGCATGCACAAGGACGAGGCTGGGACAGCAAGGCCCGCGCCAAGACCACTAGTGCTGGCAGACACTGGCTGAGCACCTCCTGTGTGCCAGGCCTGTGCTGGCGAACCCCGAGTCCTGCCTTCCCTGCCCCTGTTCGCCCTGTGACCTCCCCAAGCACACCCTGCGGGGTGGTGGCCGCCTCCCTGGCACCCTAGCCAGGGACACGTTTCCTGAGCTACGGTGATGCTGTAGCAGCTGGGCCAGGCCCACCCGTCCTGTGTACAAACACACTGTACCCCCACGATGCTATGCAGGTGGGGAAACCGAGGCACAGAGGGGTGCTGTTACTCAAGACCACAGGGCCAGGCCAGGGCCATGCCAGGATTCGGGATGCAGGCTCTGGACCCCTGCGCCACACCCCCCTGCCGGGCAAACACCCGCCGACCCTGTTCCCTGGGTGAGACCCCCAGCCCAGGGCAGGACGAAGGGGCTCTGGGCTCAGCGCCCCCTACCTGGCTCTGGGCCCGCCCCCACCACGCCCTCCCGCCCCACCGGCTCTGGCGGCTTACAGGAGTTCTTCCGAAAGACGGTGTTGCTCATGAACTTGAAAAAGCGCTCGGCGTAGAAGCTGGGGCGGTGGACAGAGACCGTGTCCTGGAAGAGAGCAGGGGTGGCGGGGCAAGGTTGGGTCGGCAGCTGAGAGGGCTCTGGCTCTGCCAGGACGGCCCTGGACACCGCTGCGTGCTGGGCGAGGTGGGGGAGCTACCTTCCGTGTATCAAGGGAAGAGGTGGGTCTGTGGAGCAACGGCTTCCCAGAAGGGGACCCAAGGAGCAGGTGACAGTGGTTCTGTCAGGGGAGGGAAGCCGGGTAGCAGGGAACAGGGTGGGAGGGAAACTGTTTTCACTATAAACCCATTTGTATTTTTGAACCCCTTTTTGAACCATGTAAATGGGTCAAAGAAACCGGAGGACTTCTCTGAAACAGGGGTCGGCAGCGTCCGGCCCCACACCTGCTTTGTCAATAAAGTTTTATCGGCACGGGGCCTTGCCTGCTCTTGCACATTTCTGTTTTGTCCCTGACTGCTTTTGTGCTCCAAAGGCAGAGCTGAGCACAATTGGAGGCTGGTGTCCCCCAGGCTAGGCCAACCCGAATGTGCCTGACCTGGATATAAGGCGGGGGTCCAGCACCTGGGGGCGGTGGGCTCAGTGAATGCTGAGCCCCTAAGGCGGACACTCCTTGCTGTTCCAGGGATCAGTGTCTTTGTCGTCCACGACACGGTTCTCAGCTTTGGCAGACCTGTCATTTTGGGCTGGACCATTTTTGGTTGGGGCTGGGGCTGTCCTGGGCACTGCAGGTGCTGAGCAGTGTCCCTGGTCCCCACCCACTCCGTGCCAGAAGTTCCCCCAATGTGACAACCACAGATGTCCCCAGACATGGTCTGGTGTCCCTGGGGGGCTGGACCACCCGGCTGAGACTCCCCTGCTGTGACGTCACAGAATCCCTCTGGACACACAGCCTTCCAGAAGGAAAACGCGTTCCCAGACTCCCCTGGCTGAGGCGTGGCCAGGAGCCAGCTCCTCGTGCCTTCCTCCAGCTGGGGTGGGACGTGGTGGTCGGGCTGGAGGACAAGGACAACTCCAGGGGTGTGGAGCAGTGGCACAGACCAGGCCGCCTCTCCAGGACCACACAGCTCTCCCGTCTGCGCGGGCAGTGGGACCACCTTGACCTTCTCCAAGTCCAGAGCGCCGACCGCTATGGCACGGGGCGCCTGGCCTCTAACGCACATTCATGAACGAATGAATGAAGGTTCTCACCCCGTCGTGCACGAGAGCCTTCCAGGTGTGTTCCAGCTTCTTGATGAACCTGCAAAGAGAAGAAAACACCGGAATGTCGGCCCACATCAGCCAAGCCCTCGAGTCCAGGGGGTCTCACCAGGCGACTCTGCACCCCCCCAGGGACACCGGGCCACGTCTGCAGGAGTCTGTGGTTGTCAACTCAGGGTGGGGGGAGCTCCTGGCCTGCAGGGGATGGAGGCAGGGACACTGCTCAGCACCTGCAGGGCCCAGGATGGCCCCTCCCCAGAAGACGAGCCGACCCAATGTCCACAGCGCCCGGCGGACACCCTGCTCTAGAGGGACTGAGACCGCAGCTGCTGCACCAGCCAGAAGGCAGAGCCCCCTCGCTCTCCCTTCAAGGCTCAGGCTGAGCCCAGCCCCCTCTCCACTGCCTGGTGCTACCAGCCAGGCTGTTCCTCCAGGAGCTTCCCAGATGCCCCCCGGCTGGAAGGGAAGGTCCCTCCTCGGCACAGCCTCGTCCCAGGAGGAGCTTGCGGCTGCCTGGGACCTGGTGGCCCCTGTCCCCCTCACCCTGAAAGCTACCTAATCCGGCTTCCATACCCGAGGCAGGACCCTGCGGGGGACACGGACAACTGTCAGAAGGGAAGAGCTACAAAACGTGACCAGGAGGGCCCGTTTTGATGCTTCAAAAAAGAGAAGCCCTGGCCGGGCGCGGTGGCTCACGCCTGTAATCCTAGCTCTCTGGGAGGCAGAGGCGGGCGGATTGTTTGAGCTCAGGAGTTCGAGACCACCCTGAGCAAGAGTGAGACCTCGTTTCTACTAAAAAAAAAATACAAAGAAATTAATCTGACAACTAAAAATATATAGAAAAAATTAGCCGGGCATGGTGGCGCATGCCTGTAGTCCCAGCTACTCGGGAGGCTGAGGCAGAAGGATCGCTCGAGCCCAGGAGTTTGAGGTTACTGTGAGCTAGGATGAGGCCATGGCACTCTAGCCCGGGCAACACAGTGAGACTCTGTCTCAAAAAAAAAAAAAAAAAAAGAGAAACCCCAAAGAAACCGCCAAACGGGGGCAGCATCTCCTCTGCTCACAGCCCCTCCTGCGTACTGTCTGAAAGGTCCCTAACAAGCACGTGTCACTCTAAGGATAAAAGACTGACACCAGGGAGGAGCTCACTGCCGGGGGCTCACCAACAGCTGTGGCCCTGGCTCTAGGTGGCTATGGGGAGGCTGGGCTCCTGCTCCTTCCGGGTTTTTCCGGCATGTGTCCACGTCTGAGACCACACGGTTACGAAATCTGGTGTTGTGTGACGCTGGGTCAAAGACGTAAACTCGGTGGCCCAAAGTGAGAGTTTCTAGAACCCAGTCCTTGGATTCTCAGGGGCCCAGACGCCGCCCTGCAGGGCCGGGGAGGAGGGGCGGAGAGGGGCCACACCTGTAGGACTGCAGGATGTCGATGATGCCGATGTGCAGCAGCAGCCGCTCCCCGCGCCCGTTCACCGCGGGGATCCCGCCCATCCTGGGGAGAGAGGGCGGGTCAGCAGCCCGCAGAGCGGGAGGCTCCAGGCTCGAGGACCCACCTGCTGCCGAGGGCGGCAGCTCAGCCGGGCCCTCCGAGCAGGGTCCGGCACCTGGGTCAGCTGGGACAGAGACCCACTTTGTACCGCACACCCTACTGGGCGGGGATGCCCCTGCTCACCTCCCGGGCTCAAAGCAGGACGCAGGATGCTGCGCGGGGCCCCGGCTACGAGACTGGGCACAGGCCCCCACGCACCCGGACATGCACAGACACGCACGGGCACGCCCCTCGGGACCCCGAGCTCTCAGGTGCAGCCTGGGGAGTTAACTGGGTGCCCGAGGTGCGCGGTTAGTGAGGCCACAGGATGCAGCAGCCAACTGAAGCCACCATGGCCCCAGGCACACGGGCCCAGGCTGGGCGCGCCCTGCTCACTCTACACCACACACCGCTGGGCTCACCTGCTCCCCGACAAGCCCCACGAAGACCCTACAAATGCCAAAAAGGTCTGAGGGGGGCTGCGCAGGATCTCTGCACAAGCTGCCCCACCCCCGCCCCCCCACCAGGGCCCCAGGCCCTGCCCCTCCTCTGTCCCAGCCAACTCATGGCCCAGTGCCACCCACATGGGCTCCCGGGGCCAGGGTCAACCTTGGCTCAGTGCCCAGCTGGATACGTGCTTAGGACGGCTGCCCCCACCTCGCAGCCTTTGTTTCCTCAGCTGGAAATGGGGGACGACACCTGCCCCCTCCAGGGCCCCCAGGGACTGAACAAGGTAACACAAGCGGAGGCTCCAGCCCGTTCCTGCGTGGTTGGTGCATAGTGACCAGGCTATGCTGTGACCAGGGGACAATCTTGACACTGCTGTACTGTCAATCCTGCCCACCTGGGGACACCGGGCAGTGTCTGGGGACATTTGCAGTTGTCATGACCGGGGAGGGGGTGGTTCTGGAGTGGGTGGGGGACGCCGCTCAGCACCCCGGGGTGACCAGGATGGCCCTGCCCCGGAGAATGACCCGGCACCAACATCCACAGGGCCCAGGGGGAGACCCTATGAATGTCTCCCTGACCAATCACGGGCCCCCGAGCGGGGCGCCAGGCTGACCCCTCTCCCTGGCATCCAGCAAAGGTGCTCTGGGTAGATGCTCCGTGGCATCAGCCACATCTGTGGCAGCTGCCTTCTCTCTCTGTGCAATCAGATTCCTCAATCTCACTGCCCTGTGGGTTTTGTCTCTTGCCAGGAAAGGTCTACCCACACCTCTCTGTGGTCTTCCTGTGCCTTCTGCCTCGCTCCCCACGGCGGCTGCAGTTGAGGGAGGTTACCTGTGCCCTTCTCATGGGCATGGCCAATGGCCTCGACCCACCCACCGACTGATGAGAAATGCCCCTGCCGTCACACGCCAAGGCCCGTGGCCACCTGTGTTCAGCCTCTTGACCTGCAGGACAGCCTGGGTGGCAGGAGACGCTGCCCACCTCACCCCGAGGAGTCAGGCACAGATCGGCTCCTGGGCTCTCTGCTGCTCTACCACGGACGCCCTCGCCGAGCTGGCGCCACCCCCTCACCTGTTCTCACACCTGGCAAGGGGAGAGGACGGGACCAGGGGCTGGAGCCCGGTGGGGCACAGGGGAGGGGGACAGAACTAGAGGGCTCCCCGCCCACCTACGTGTCGTCGGACTCGATGGCCTCCCCGCGCGCGGCCCCGCCCTGGATGGACTCCATGGCCGTGGAGTACAGCGCCTTCTGGCCCACGGGCCGCTTCTCGTCCGAGGTGCTCTGGGCGCCCTGGGCCTGGCGCTCGCGCTCCTGTTGGTCAAGGTTGTGCACCCCCAGCAGCAGGCTGTAGTCCATGATCTTGAAGCTCTCCAGCACCTGTGGGAGGGGCAGCGTGGTCAGCCGTGCCATCCCCAAACCCCAAACCGGGTGCACTGGGGTTTGGGTGACCCATCCCACGCCGCGCGGGGCCCTGGTTATCCCGAGGGACTAGGGGGCCGCGATCACCCAGGGCGCCAAACGCAGATGCTGGGCCCTGGAGTGCAGGCTTCTGACCGGATGCCAGCCCGCCCCTGGGGCTGGGACAGGGACTTTTCGGGACTTTCCCAGAGAGGGCCTGAACTTACTCTCCCACCCCCCCGGCCCGAGGTCGAGGACAGGCTCTGGCTGGCGAGACAGAGCTCAGGCTGTGGACACCCGGGGCTCAGGGCCAGGCCAGGGAAGCCATGAGGCCCCTGAGTGTCTGGGCAAGGGGTGTGGGTCAAGTTCTCAGCCAGCGCACACAAAGGGCGTGGGCGGCCCCAGGCTCTGCCCCTGCCCAGCTGGGCCCCCACCCCTCAGCTCTAGCTGCTGGGGCCCTGAGGGGAAGGGACACCCATTCTCACTGCAGCTTGCTGGCCGGCAGACAGTCATCTCGTTTGACGGGAAGGGAAACTGAGATATAGTGAGCCCCAGCGGCTGCCTGGGGCATACTGGGCTTGTGACTGTGGCATCCTGAGGCTGTACTGTCCCCAGATGCCATCGTCACCACGAAGGTGAGTGACGTCTGCAGAAACCGGCACAGACACTCCCGACCCCCAGGTCTCGGTTTGGAAGCAAGTTTTAGGTTAAGGCCCCAAACTCGGGGTCACACGGCTCCCATCCGGGGCGGGGCCCGCAGCTCTCTGGGAGGGGCGGCTCTGGGGCGGGGCGGGGGCTGCTGTGGGTGGGCGGGGCCGTTCTGGGCAGGGGGGCTGCTGTGGGCGGGGCCGGGGCTGCCGTGGGCGGGGGCGTGGCATGGCTGGACTGCCGTGGGCGTGGTGGGCTGCTGTGGGCGGGGCCGGAGCGGCCGTGGGCGGGGCTCACCAGGCAGTCCCGCTGCAGCGTCTTGACCAGCGCGCTGAAGGTGTCGGCGTCCAGCAGGAGCCCCTCGGGCATGTCCTGCATGAAGTCCAGGTCCTTGTAGGTGGGGATGCTCTTCTCCTTCTCTTTCTTGCTGGCGCGCCGCTTGTAGGTGGAGCCCTTGAGGTCGAATTTGAGGTGCATCTTGACGACGCGCGGCAGCACGTTGTTCATCACCACCACGCGGATGTTCTTGCCGCCCGACTGCACGCAGTACAGCCCATAGAACTTGGGCAGCAGCGTTCGCGGGTTCTGGTTGAGGTTCTGCGGGGAAGGCGGGGTGAGCGCCCTGCCCAGAGCCCCTCGGAGAACCGGGACGCTCCCGGGATGTCCCCGCCACAGGGAGGAGCCCCCCCCCAGGTCCCTGCTTCCGGGCCCATCGGGGCAGGGTTGCAGACCCCGCCTGGGTGGCCTGGCCAGCCCCACCCCTGTTTTTGTAAGGCTTCCAGCTGAGGGCGGTTTTTCCATTTTTAAAAAGTTGAAAAATATCATAAGAAAAATAGTATTTTGTGACATGTGAAAACGATGTAGAATTCACACTTCAGCGTCCATAAATAAAGTTTTATTGGCACACAGCCGTGCCCATCCGCTCGTGCTGTCCAGGGCGGTTTCTGCGCCACCAAGGCAGAGCAGAGCGGCGCAGACAGACACTGCCCGGCTCACGGAGCCAAAGACATTCCCTGTCTGGCCCTTGACTGGTCACGTTTGCAGAGCCCTGATCTAGGGGATCCCGTGTCCCACCCTGAGCATCACACACAGTGGACGAAAGATGCCTCAGAGGAGAAACTGAGGCACAGGCTATGCTGAGCTGCCCAGAGGGGCCAGCAGCAGCTCGGGCCTGGCCGTTCAGGAGGTGCCCACCCTTGTCTGGGCGACTACCCGACCCTGAGGGCCAGAAAGGCAGCCCTGCTGTCCGCAGTTCCTGCTCCTCTCTCCTAGGGCCCGGCGTGCCCTTTTCTCGAGGGACGGAGGTGGATGGCGCTGCCTGCACGAGCAGGCTTTTGTGAGGCGCCAGCTGGCGGCCCGTCCCCCTCATCTCTGCGACTGAGTCACCCTTGGGCCGCTTGGGCCTCAGTGGCGGCTGAGGGAGATGCCGCCCGTGGGCTATTTTGGGGACCCACAACGCTTGGGAGATGGGCAAGGCAGGACTGGGCAGCCAGGCGGGGACCCCCAGCCCTGCCCAGGGTTGGCCACCAGGGCCCTCAGCTGCAGGAGGTGAGGGTGGTCCCGAACACCTCGTGACGGGGCCCCCGAGGGCAAGTCTGTGAGCCTGCCCAGGAGGGGCCTGGGCCAGTGTCGCCTGCCTACTCTCACCAGCCAGGGGAGTGGGGTCGGGGGAGTGGGGCTGGGGACAGAGTGGAGGGGCTGTGTGTGGAGGCAGGGGGTGGAGGCAGGATGGGGGCCAGGGGAGCCTGGATCGGGCCCCGCCAAGCCTTCCCCGTCCCCTCTCCTCCCCCTCCAAGGCCACCGCCCCACAGCTGGGCGCCACGCACCATGTAGTAGCCGGGGAGCAGCTTCTGCAGGAACTCGGCCTCCTTGTGCATCACGGTCTTGATGATGAACTCGTCGTCGCTGGTGACGTAGAAGAGGGAGCCGCTGGCGCCCGGGTTAGAGAGCTCGATCAGGGGCTCGTTGCACAGGGAGTACTGAAAGGCAGAGGTGGGCGGGCGGTGAGCGGGCCTGGGGCCAGTGGACAGACAGCCGGACAGACAGACAGACGCTGCTCCTCAGCTGCGCGACAGCCCCAGGAACTGGTGACCGTCAGTCCATTTACAGATGAGGAAATGGAGGCTGCGGGGTGGGTGACTTGCCCACACCAGGGATTGGAACCGCTGACTCCGCAGCCTGAGTTAGCAGCAGACACCTGATTATATCGCGGTGCCCACACACCTGGCCAAGAAGTGGTCCCAGCCCCCCTTGCAGCTGGGTGTGGCCCCAACGGTAGCTCTGCCCAGTGAGCTGCGAGCAGAATAGTGGAGTGACCTTCGGGGAAGGCTCCCGGAATGGGTGACAGACAGGTGGGATGCCTGGTTTTATACCCTTTTCTCTGTCCTATTTTCCTCCTGGAACACTGATGTGACAGCTGGAACCCTAGCAGCCATGGGGGGACCATGAGGTAATCTTCAGGATAGAAGCTGTGTACCAGTGGTGGCAGAAAGAGAAGCCGTGTCTCTGATGGGCAGTCCCCAACCTGGCCCCCAGCACACCCCAGCCCTCGCTCCCCACCTCTCTTCCCCACTTTCCCCCTCACTGACATTTGTTTCCTTGCGTGTTCACTGTCTCCCTCCCCCACATGCCCCTCCCGGCCATTAGATGGGACGTTCCATGGAAATAGGTTGTCTGGGCAGTTTCTTTGCTGACACACAGCAGGTGCTACATTTGTTAAGCGAGACAGTGAAAATGAGACCTACAGGCTGTGACCCTGGGGCACTGAAGTACTTCTGGGGTTAAGGCTGTTTGGGTTGGGCTTTCTGTCCCTCACTCCCCTGACATCCTAGCTGATCGCTATGGGTATACATGGACGAGGCCACAGGGACTCCCCAGAAGCTGAGTGTGCCAGGCCTGCTGCAGCGGGAACGCCAGGGGAACAGCTGAAGATGGACACACAGGTGGTTTGTGAGTGACGCGTGCCGGCCCCACCCCATCTGGGAAGAACGCTGAGTACTGAGTGGGGGGGGCGTCCCCCTAGGGTTAAGGGTGGCAGTGAACGGAAGTGCGGGATGCCACTTCTGGAAAACAGCGGTGCGTCCTCAGAGACAGACACAGCACCGCGCACCCCTCCAGGTGCAGAACACTCTGCCGGCTCCACCGCGGCTCCCACCATGGTGGGAAGCGGCCAGTTCCCGTGGTGTCCCGAGGCGGAGTCGGTGGGATTCACATGGTGCTGGCCGCAGGGAGTGAGGAAGCCGCACAGGGAGGACTCAGGTGGAAGCGAGAGGCGCCCAGGCTGCAGCCACTGCCAGGTCCGGCCATCTGTCTGTCCTTCCTCCACCCACGGTCATGAGCCACAAATATCCACGGAAGCCACAGAGAGCCCACGCCGGGCTGCTCCATCCTCCCCGCCGTGGCAGGAAGCCTCTCCCGGACACAGGCACGGCAGTGCGGGGCGAGGGCGGGTCCCTCCTGGGGCTGGCGCCCTGCCTGCGTGGTGAGGAGGCCCCTGCAGAGCGTACAACCACTGTCCTCAGATAACCTTGGATGGGGAGGCCACAAGCAGCCTCATGTCCCTCCACTGGGCACGTGTCATCGCAGCCTCTGCAAAGCGCGGTGGGGAAGGCCGGGCTGACATGCACAGTGGAGAAAGCTGCAGAATGGGAGCGTTCAGCCTGATACAAAAGAAATCTGAGAGAAAAAATTCTGGAACCAAGCAGCTCATGGCAGTTGCCCATGGGGAGCAGGCCACATGCGTGGATTTCTGAGTGGGGCAGCAGCAGGACAACTGGGATGGGACCCCTTTGCTGGGGGCCAAGGATGGGGGCTCTTGGTGGCCATGCTGCTGTGGGCTGACAGAGACCCACCTCTCCGTGCTACAGCCAACCGGCCGGGGGACTGAGGCTGACCGTTTGCAGCCCCCTCAGCTGACCCTCTGCCCTCTGTCCCCTTGGCTGGGGGCGCTGTGGCCTCAGCTGTCGGACTGGAGTGGAGCCTGGGCAAGCCCAGCTCCCAGAGCCTCCACCTGTGTCTCCGCTGCTCCAGCTCAGGGACCCCGGGCCGCACGGGCGGGGACAGAACATATGCCGTCGCGTCCTCCCGCCGCCGCTGCAAGGCCACACTCATGCCGTGGCCTGGACAGAGGCGGGGGGCTGCTGCCTGCCCAGCACTGGGGCCCCGAGGACACTGTCGCCACCTGGGATGAGCACCAGCCAGGCTGAAGGGCCACCGTGCAGACCTCTGAGGTGGGAACTTGCTCTGATTGGGTTCTAGGTGAGACCTAGGTGTCCCCTGCCTCTGTTTTTGGTTGTCTGCTCCCCACTAAGGGACGTTCACCCTGTGTCCCTGCTGCTATAAACCATGGCATGGACTTTCACTTCTGGCAACCTGACGACCGGTGTCTGGGCAACCCGGGGGCTGTTTCTACGCAAGAACAAATCACTTGTCTTCCAGTTGCTGGGACACTGCAGGCAGAAGCCTGGGCCCCAGCCCTGGCGAGGGGCACAGTGACTCCTGGGTACCCAAATGGGGCTGGGGTCCTCCGGGGTCACGTGCACCCCTGGCTGGGGCGAATGCTAATTATCTCTGGAAGAACGCAGCCTCCGTTGAGGACACAGGCTCCCCCCAGACTAAGAAAAACCAAATTCATAGATAGTCAACGACCACCAAAGACACAAGCGAATGAGACACCATGCGGGAGAGCCCAGTTGCAACGATCAGACACAGGGTTTCAAACGATACAGACCCGCTTGTCGACAGATTTTAAATTTCCCTCTAACACAAAGTTTTAAAACAATGATCAGGAAGATTTGGAGAAGGACCACACAGAGCCTTTAGACATGGAGCTCTGAGGAACGCAGAGGCCGCCTCGGCGAGCGCCCAACTGGACTGTAACCCTAAGCAAGGAACCGGCGGAGCTGCACCCATGCGCCTGGCCTAGGGAACCTCTGAGACCACAGACATGTGCTGTGTTACGCGGTACTTTGTTACATGGCAGTAGCTGACACACTCACCAGGTAATCATCCGGCCGGATCCCAAACAGTTCCCGGAAGTAGCGAAAGGCGACAGGTGCATAGGTCTTGAACCGGAAGTCCTGGAAGTGGTGGGCAGGGGTGAGGTTGCTGCCTTCGCTGTGGAGGAAGGACAAAGACAATGTCTGTGAGGGATGGTGGCACTTGGGCACCTCTCTCCACTCCTCCCAATGGCCCTCCCCAGGCCCAGGGCAGCCAAGCCCCAGCTGCCAAGCCCCAAGATGTCCTCCAAATGGCCCAATCCCACAAGCAACATGGGGCTCCCGTTGGGACTGTCCCCCAACAACCATTCCCCCTTCTCTCATTAGCAACGGAGCCCACAATGTTGGCTAGACACATGGCTGCCTGGAGTAGGGAGTAAGACCTCACTGCCTAGCCTCTCTTGTAGGTAGGTGTAGTCATGTGACTACACTCGGCCAATGAGAGGTGAGGGAGGCAGGAACAATGTATCTTATTTCCTGGTTGTGCCCTTAAAGGGAATAGGCATGTTGCTCCCCTTCTCCTTCTCTTTCTTCCTGCTGCTGGAATGCAGATGTGATGGCAGGACCTTGGGCAGCCACCTGGGACCGCTGGTGACAGAAGCTACATGTTGAGGATGGTGGTGTGGAGCCACCTTCCCAGCCCTGGACTGCCTACTGGTATTTTTACATGAGAGAATCAACTTCAACCTTTTCTTTTTTCTTTTCCTTTAAAACCATGTTTATATTGAGTCTCCCTGATTGTGCAGCAAACTAATATTCTGACTGATGTGGGGTCAGAGCTCAGAGCCAAGGAGACGCCAGGAGAGGCCTGGCGCTATTCTCAGCAGAGAAGGGCACTCAGAGAACAGGCTGTTCCATTTGAGAACAGCGTCTGTCCGGCGGGCAGGCCCCCAAACCCCAGGGCTGCTGCTGCAGCATGCGCCCGGCCCACCTGGGGAAGAAGATGCTCTCCACCACGTAGAAGTCCTGCATGAGCACGTCCCGCTCGGGCTTGGAGCTCAGGTTGCCCACAGTGTAGCCGATGCCCAGCTGAATGGCGCCTTTCAGGGTGGACGAGGTGGTCTGCGGGGAGACGCGGCACATCAGGACCCCTGGGCTGGTCCCTGCCACAGCTCTGTATCCCCTGGGTATGCTGGGAGGGTGGGGGCTGGCGTCCAGCCTGCAGCTGACCCCCAGAACCCGCCCACAACCTCCCTGGGGCCCCCTGCACAGCCACCTTCCAGAACTGTGACCATCCTGCCGCCACGGTGCAGGGGAGGGAACCCGGCCAGAAGGTGAAGCCACCACCTTCAGTCCACACGGCACAGCAGCAGCTCAGCCACGGCTGACACTGCTTTGTACAACCCAAGGCCTGTTTTCCAGGCGTGTTCCGGAAGGCCCCAGCATCTCAAAACCACCCAGACTGCACGGGGTTTTGTTTTTTAGGGTGGCACATTTTACAGAGCAATATCAGAATCACACTCCTTTCCACAGACCCGGGTTCCTTCTACCCGCTTTCTGCGTGGCAGGAGGGGCTGGACATGACGGTCCCGGCCCTTCTGGGGACGCTGTGTGTGAGACAAAGCCTGAGCACACCTGGGCAGCACTTGCTGTTTTTCTTTTGTTTTGTTTTTTGAGACAGAGTCTCACTCTGTCACCCAGGCTGGAGTGCAGTGGCGTCATCACAGCTCACTGCAGCCTCCAACTCCTGGGCTCAAGCGATCCTCCTGCCTCAGCCTCCCGAGTAGCTGGGACTATAGGTGCCACCGCCTGGCTAATTTTTCTATTTTTTGTGGAGATGGGGTCTCACTGTGTTGCCCAGGCTGGTCTCGAACTCCTGGTCTCAAATGATCCTCCCACCTCGGCCTCCCAGAGTGCTGGGATTGTTGGCCTGAGCCATGGCACCCTGGGATGGGGCCTGTTATTTCCATCGCCAGCATCGTCAATGCTGTCACCCCTGTGCGTTCTCCGTAATGTGTCCATCCTAACATTGAGGAAGACACCTCGGTCTCCCCATCTCTGACTGGCCCCCAGCACTCCCACGGAGGGTGCGGGAGGCAGGGAGGGGGTTGGAGTTGGTCTTTGCCAACAGCGCAAGGCCTTCCCTCTGTGCTCAGGCGCCTGGCCCTCAGCTCGCCTCCCTGCTAAGCCACCCACAGGTGGGCCCCGGCCTGGCCTCCGTGTTCCCCTCCCTGCCGATGCTGTGCACCGAGCAGACTTGCACAGAGACCCACAGCAGGAAGCTCAGTGCTCCTGGGCGTCGAGGAAGAGCAAATCAGAATCACAAAGAGACACCGCGTCTCGCCCACTGGGTGCCAGAATCACAGAGACGGACGATCGCAGGCGCTGGTGTGAGAAACCGCGGGCCTCGCGTGCCGTGGGACTGTGAAATGGTGCAGCCGATGGTGCGGCTGCTGTGGGAAACAGTCTGGAAGTTTCTCAAAGGTTAAACGTAGAGCTACCCTGTGACCCAGCAGTGCCACTCCCGGGCACGTACGTCCACGAAGAACTTACAAATGAACGTTCACGGCAACATCGTTTGCAAGTGGAAACAACTCAAGTGTCTATGGACAGGTGATGGATCAACACAACGTGGTCCCTCCACGCACCGGACTATCACTCGGCCACGAGAAGGGACGAGGCTCTGACACAGGCCACAGCGTGGAGGGACCTTGAGGACATCGTGCTCAGTGAGAGACGCCAGACACAGAAGGACACACAGTGTGAGACTCCGTTTACATGAAACGTCCAGAACAGGCAGAGACACAGAGACGGGACGTGGATTCGTGGTCGCCAGGGGCTGGAGGGGATGGGGGTGACTGCTGCTGGGGGCGGGGCTTCCTTTTGGGTGGTGGGAATGTTCTAGAGTCAGACAGAGGTGACGGTTTCTGTGAAATACCAGAAACCTTCTCCTGTACACTTTAAAGGGGTGAATTATACAGCGTGTGAATCACATCTCAGTATAGCTGGCATGTTGAAAAAATGCAACCGAGGCAGGGGTGTGAACAGCAGTGGGTCACACCTCCTGCCCACACGGCCTGGGCCAGAGTGTCCCACCCTCGCTGTCCAAGGCCATGGCGGGCTGTGAGCCCCTCTGTCTAGACGAGGTGCTGCCCAAGGTCACAGGACTCTGGAGCCGCTGGCCTGGGGCTTTGCCCTGTGGGCAGCATCTGACTCCGTCCGACCCCCAGCCCCCAGCGAGGCCAGCACAGAGTGGGAGCCTCACCAGGGACCGAGGTCCACAAGAGCATCTGCCTCCAGCCAAACACAGCGCGGCCCACGCCGAGCCTGGGCAGACCCCGTGTGATCATGGGAGCCCCTCCCCTCCCCCGTCGCCCC